TCCCCCCCCGCCCACCAGTATCTCGGATTATGATTATTTTTTCTTCTAATTCCCAGAAGTGGTATGAAGATTCCCATGGCTCTTGACCTGTATGTCCAAATTGCTATTCAGAAGTCTGTATCCATTTATACTGCCACCAACAACATAGGACTACATCGATTTTGTTGAACTCTTGCCAGGATTAAGGATCATTTCTTAGTATTTTAAAAGTGGATATAAAATGCAGCCATATTATTCCTGTTAACTGTGGTGGCTTTGTGGTGTGTCGGTGTGGCTAGGTGGACTATGCTTCTCAGAACTCCCTTCCCTGTGTGTTTCCGGCTTGAGCAACCACAGGAGGGGTTCTCAAGGGGACCACAGAGGACAGAAGGGAAGCTACAGCCCTTGACAGCTCACACACATTGTCCTCATCTGCTGGCCAGTCTGAGGGCATGAGTCAGGGCTGGGCATTTCCCCCTGGGTCCTCTTTAAGCTTCTCCAACTTCTAGGGGTTTGTGTGTGTGTGTGTATAAGTCCATGGGGAAGGGTTAGTTTCTGCAGGACATCCACATCACCAAGTTCAGAGGCAACTAGGAGGGCATGCTTTTGTCATCCTGTGGGTGTCACTTATACTCTGGGCTCCAGCTTGTTCTTGCTCCCCCTAACAGAGCATATTTCCTCCTCCACTGCCTGGTCACTGGACTTTACACCCCAACACCAGAAGCAAAGACAATAGCATTGGGAGACTACTTAACTGGCTCCCACAAGTGCGTGAGGTTGAATCCTTGTAACAAATCTGTCACTGTCTTCATCTCCATCACCTCCATCACCTCCGTCTCCATCATCTCCATCACCTCCATTACCTCCATCATCTCCATCCCTTCCATCACTTCCGTCATCTCTATCATCTCCATCTCCATCATTTCTATAACCTCCATCACCTCCATCAGCTCCATCATCTCTATCTCCATCACCTCCATCAGCTCCATCATCTCTATCTCCATCACCTCCATCAGCTCCATCATCTCTATCTCCATCACCTCCATCA